GCTGGGAGTCCCGCTTTCTTGGAAGAAGACGGCGCTCTCCCCGGTCAATACCTGGTTGGGATTCGTGGTGGACCCAATCACGCCCTGTGTGCTGCTGGCTCCAGTCAAGCACGTCATAATCCTGGCCACTCTCAAACGGCTGGCCCAGGGGGACATCTTTACCAGCAAGGAGGTGGAACAAGCCCTGGGCCGGATTCAATGGGCTACTTCGGCGTTGACATTGACTTTCCTCCTCCAACCCTTTTGGAGCTGGAAGAAGGCCTGCACCACTTCGGGCAGGCCACCGAAGCTGGTTCGTGCTCTGGCCATCCTTCTGGGGAAGCTCTTCAACCAGAGGTTCCCACTGGCATCTCCATTTGCTCCCACACTTCCATGGACGGGGGCATCTGATGCGGGAGCTGGCAAACAGGCGGACCATGCATGGGTTGGTGGTTGGTGCTCGGACGTGCCCAACCCCGACAAGTCCCGCGTGAAGTGGTTCCAACACAGAATCACACCGGAGGGCGAGCCGTGGGCCTTCGCTACTGGGGACCCGCAGCGAGCGATAGCGGCCTTGGAGCTCTTCGGCCTCCTCCTTCTGGTGAGGGCTGCTCTGCTTTGTGCAGCCGGCTCGGTTTCTCACACTAGGATTCTGGTTGCTAGTGATAACCAGGGAAACGTTTTCTCCCTGCTCAACGATTCCACTCGCAGGATGCCCAATGCGGCCATCCTCATGGAAATTGTGTTAACACTGCATGACCACCAGGTCATGTTGGGACCGTCGCATGTGAAGCGCGACTTTAACACGTGGGCGGATGAACTTACTCATCCGGACCCGCAATTTCCGACTGAGAACCGGGTCTTCCCCTCAGTCGAAAGCGAATTGATCAAGCTGATCTTCGCTACTTTCCTTCCTCACCCATGATGCCGGGAGGGCATCCGGTGAGGTGGGAGGATTCCTCCCTCGCTGTGGGAGTGGCATCAATTCTACTCCCATCAGCTGCTGAGGGGAGCTGCCCAGTGGAGCTGGGCAATCCTCCCATTTTGGCACAAACCCTTATTCGGCGAAAAGGATGCACCGTTCGCGATTAAGGTACCAGTAGCACCAATGTGGTGCTTTGAAGAGTCTGGTCTTACTTTTTTTTTTTTACATGCCAAAGGCCCTTTGAAAGTGCCCAGCACAAAGGGGCACCGGCAAAGGAAGGCCAGTTTATGCATTTTGAGCTTCCCTGCACCATGGTGTTTCATCCATCTTACCCTCCCGACGATTCCATGGAAGTGCACAAAGCCCCTTTCCAAGAGGAAGGTGGTCTTTCGGGGCTCCCTGCACTTCCATGAAATCGTCGGTGGGAGGGGCAGTCCCGCTCGCAGGACCTCTGCCGCAGCCTACGCCGGCCATCCATCCTGGTGCAAGGCCATTGCCTTCGACGCAGGAAGGGCTGGATGGGGGAAACGAGCGTCGTCGACCCTGGAATCCACCTGGTGGATTTCTGGGGTTGCCTCGAAAATGAGACAGGTTGATGGATCCAGAGTTCCTTTGCAAGTAAATTTCTTTGAAGCCTAGTAAGAAGGAGAACCTTTCCAGTACATGTTCTGCGGGTACCGGGGAATCGGGGCGGGGGGGGGGTCCCCACGTTTTAGGTCTTAGCTCCCGGTCACTCCCCACCAATCTCCAGCTTGTGCTTCTTGGCAGGCCTTTTAGTTTCACCTTCAAGCCCTAGTGAGAAAGCCAAGACATCATCTTCCATGTTTGGGGCCCACAGTGATGCGCCTCCGCTGCTTTTTCTGTTTCCTAAACCCTCAAAGGACCCTCAAACTGCTCTTGAAGCAAAGCAAATTTACTTGGAACTTTTTGGGCAACATCCAAACAAACTTCCTACCCAACAGTAGATGCAGCTTGAGGGTCCAGGTTTGCCCCGTGCTTCGCTTCGGGAGGAATGGGGCCCAGTACTTGCCGGTGAATGCGGAGGGCGCTTTCTTCGAGCTCCAAAACAGCGGGCTCTTCGACTCCTTCAAGGACAGCCAAAGGGGTGGGGGCAGGAGGGGTCGCGAAGGCTGTGTGAGTCGAAAGCTGAAGGCCAAGAGCACTTAAGGAAGGGCAGTTTTCCGAAATTATTTCCTCGTTTTTTGTTGGGAGGGGTGGGGGGGAGGGTTTCATTCACTCCACAAATAGGGCAAACAAACAACCAAACTTTACCCAAACGCTCACACAATTAATTGAGCCGTTGGGACGGTTGGGGAAAATAAACATGGTATCCAAGTTGGTTTCAATCTTAAGCATTGAAGGCTGGTGTCTAGAAAATATGAGCTATGCAAATAGTGTCTCAAAAGAACTCTTTGGGGTTGTTTCAGAGTAAACTGGATGTCGTTGGGGCCCCTTCATGGTTGATTTGTACTTTGGGACCCTTCCTTGTCATGTAGTATGGAACCTCAAGATCATCATTTGTTCAAGAACCTTTATTTTGTAGGAACCCCTTTTGTGTTGCATGCCAATTTTAGGGGAGCACGCGTTTAGTTAAACCAACCCTAAAAAGATAACCGGTACCCTCAACCCAAATTTATTTTCCTTCGAGATCACCCCAAAAATCCAGAATCCCTTCGGACTAATCTGGAACCCCAAGATTCCAAGATCATCAATCTTCAACGAACCATCGGTGGGCTGAAGGAGCCGGGGCAGCTGCATGTGTCCATGGGCAAAGCGGAGGCTTTCAGCCTGCCGCAGTGCTGGTGCCGCGTGGAGGGCCTCACGCTGCTGAAGCTGCGGCCGCGGAGCCGGGACTTCCTGCACTGCTGGGACCTGGCCCTCGGAGACGAGTGAAGCCGAGAGGGTGAGGGGTGGTTGGAGAAGCTGGTGGCAGAACGCGCTCAAGCTTGAGGTCGGCCGCCTTCGGATGCCTGACGAATGTCTTGACCTGCGGCGTGGTCTAGCTGGAGCACCCTGAAGGTCTGACGAAAACCAGGACTTCCGGCGTTGTTGTCTAGCTGGAGCCCGACCCAGTGTTGAAACAGTCGCCGACTTGAAGGTGAGTGGCTGGCTTCAGAACACATGGCACGCCCAGCAGATCGGCGCCCATAGCTGAAGCCATAGCCAATGCTTCCCCGGGCTGCGGAGGAAAACCGCTGCCCCTGCACAATTTGATTTGGCTTGCATGAGTTCTTCTTCTGGCTCAGCCCTTTGCTGCGCGTGTTTGCGTGGTTGTATGTTTGTGTGTTGAGTTTTGTTCTTGTTGTGTTGTCAGCAAAAGTTGTGCCGTGTTGGCAGGCTGTAGGCCGGCTTGCTTGCTTGCTGGCTTGCTTCTTCGGCTGATTGTGGGCATTTTCACTTGCATTTGCCTGGGGTCTGGGTCGCTTCATTTGTGCCCAGGCTGAGGGTGGGCAAAGCAGGGGAGTGCAGTGGTCCGGGCCTTGAGCTGCAGCCTGGCAGACTTTTCCAAAACACCTCCGAACAACAGACGATACACAGGATCTGGGTTTGGGGTTTGTTGGCCCTATCCGGCTGGCATCACCTCTCCAAGAGCCTGAGCTTCAGGGTTTCAATTTAGGACTGGCACCGACCTGCATGTTCAGCCCTGTTCCAGCTTGCCAATGTGATGTGAGTTGCCTCCCTAGGCGGTTTCCGTGGGTCTTTGGCGCTAATTATATGTCGAATAATCCTCAAGCTCGATTCGCCCGAAAGGAAGCCACGAAAGGAAGCCACAAGCGGGGAGAGCCCGTTTTTTTGTCGTATGTTCAGGGGCCCTTCTTACCCAGCACGCTTGGCTGGCCTGAGGAAACTACAAGCGCGTAGGCGCCCACTGCAACATGTGGCTCGGCAAGCTACCCGAGCGGGATGCAATTTGTGCTGCGCAGGTTGGGTCGAAACAGTTTTTGTTGGACGCCGCTGTCGCTGTGCGGAATGGTGTCTTTCGGCACGGCCAGCAAAAACTAAGTGGCAGGGTTGAGGGTTGGGGGGGTTGGGGGGTTGGGGGGTTGGGGTGAGGATCTGAAATGCTGTTGACCCCTGCGTCTATGCAGCTGCATATTTGTTGGTCCTCGTGGCCATCATCAAAAACACCCTTCATCGCAGCCGATCCAAATTCAAGGGAAATCACTGCGTGCCTTTGGGACATATTTGTTCCCCAAGTATCGGGTGCAAGAGGGGTAAGGGCATGTCTGTGGCTTCCATTTGCTTACGAAAAAGTTATTATTTTTCCTTGTTGGTTTTTAAAAATAATTTGTCACTACTGGACATATTTGTATTTTGTCCAGGGGTCTTAGCCAAATGGAAGGTGGGGTGCGTAGCCTAAAGGGTATCAGCCTTCAGGCCCTAGTTTCCCGGGCTTTTTGTCATTGCTGAGGCCTCTGTACCGTGGCTCGGGCGGCAGCGTCATCTACTACGACGCCCCCAGCAGCCAGTGGCGGCGCTTTGGCCAGATGGGGGAGGTAGGAGGCCCTATTCGGTTCAAAACCAGAAGTTGCCGTTTCCATTTAAAGTGTTTATTGCCCAGCAAGGGCCATGAAGGCAACCGATCTCCAGGTCCAGTTGAATTGGCTGGGAAGGGGTCACAAGTAAAAGGACGGGGACCGAAGGGGCTCCAACAAATTAACTAGGGGGGTCGCTTGCCCAAACCTTTGATCTTGAATTGGGGGGCTGGAACACCTTGTCATTCAAACAAACTTTAATAAGACAGTGCTTGGTATAGGTTTTTAGCACAGAAGCAAACATGCTAAGCACACATTGACATGAAAGTGCCTTTTTTTCTGGCGGGGTTTTTGGGCTTGGGGGTTGCAGGGGAGTGCCCAAGAACTGATAGGGTTCGGCAAACTTGATAACCTTTTGCTTTAGTACTGGTGGGAATTGAAAAAGGAAACCTTTAATCCGGGGGGGTTTACTATTCGTGCGCTGGCATTATGCCGGGTTGGCTTGGATTCTTGGCTTGCAGCTCAGAGGGCTTGGCTCATATCTGCCTCAGCACTTGGCCGCATCCAAGCCACCCAAGTGCTTGGCCAACAAGCGCAGTAGCCTTGCACTGCACTGTGCCATGGCGGTTGGTTGCCGGTCCCATTTTCCAAACCTGGCATGTTGAGATGTGGGACTTGCGGCTGTGATGCCGCCTGCGCAAGGGTCACACGTATTGCCCCATCCCTCTCGCCGCATCCATCGGGCGCGAACACCTCGGCCCCGCGAGTTTTGAGAGCCTAGGATGGCCCTCAAGACTGACAATGAGAAGGCCGGGGCGAACGAGCCACTTTGAAACACAAGGGCCGGAGTCTCAACACGTCCCAACTTTTGTGCTTTGATGCCGTGATTCTCCGTGTTTTGTTGGTGCATTCTCCCAGCGTGGTCATGTTCGGCAACGTGACTTTGGCGAAAGCAGCAGAACTTGTGTGCAAGCATCAGGTTGCTAGACACAAGGAAGCCGCCCGTTTTATCAACAATCATGGCTCACCCTCAACCCACGTTTTGATTCCGGTGCTTTTGGGGGTCGGGAAAGTTCTGCCGGCGGAGAGGCAAAATCAGCCGCCAGGATCAGTTCTCCTCCATCTACTGCTGTGCCGATGCAGCCCCGAACGCGAGGGCCTTGTCCGATGCGGATTTGGATGTGGCAGCCAAATTTAGCTCTCTCCTTGAATTCCAGGGATTGTTTATTTTTTGGGAAGACCATCCTAGTGGTAAGCACGAATGTTGTGACCAATCACTTAGGAAGTAAGTCAAAGGTCCCACCTGGGCCAATTGTATTTGCGGTACACTTGCGCTTGGGCAAGCAACAATAAGCTCACAAAGGCCAGAAAGTTCCCCTTTTCTTCAAGCAGATGTCCGGGTGCATCCTTTCAGTTCTTTGGTGTCCGAGGGCAAGGTCCATCATAGAGTTCCAAGCTGCGCCCCGCCCATCTCTTGGCTTCCAATTTTTGGCCCCGAATAGGTAAATGGAATCACCGAGAAAGGCGGCGTGGCGCTTGGGACGACGCAAAGGCCCCGACTAAAGCCTTGTGAAGTCTTTTAGGAGCAAACCATTTTGGTCTAGAGTGGTAAATAAGAAGTTTGGACTTTTTTTGTTTGGCTAATCCACTCAGGAAGCGAGAAGAAATCCGTGTGAAGGCCTAGGAGGAACCTGGGGCGAGGCTTCGCCAGCGTTTCGCCAGCGTTTCGCCAGGCGGCCGAGCCGCCTCGTGGCGGCTGGAAGCTGCCGGATGAGGCGGGTCCCCGCTTAGAAGCCCTCCCCGCCCGTTTTGCGTACCTGAAGACTCGGGAAGTGGTCCCCTGGAAAAACGGGGGAAAAATGGTCCACGCCAAGGACCCCAAACCCCCCACCTCTCAGGTTCCTTTTGATTGGTGGGAGGGGATTCGTCCTTTGGCGGGCAGGGGTCTGCCAAAAGGGAGTCTCCTAAAAGGCGATTCCTTGGGTCTCCTCTGCCAAATGGTGTGCCTTTTTGGGTTCCACGGTGCTTCCTGCATTTTTTTTTGGGTAGTCTAAACCTGAAGTCTGGGTCTCATTTTAACCCGTGGGGCCAATGGCTTGGTCTCACGAAGGAGCGTGGCCTGCTGCCGGTGGAGTATTTCACCAAGGGCCTGCAGTCCCTGGGTGTGTCCGCGGAGGTGCGCTCGAGCTCGCGCCGGCGCATGCCGGCGCCGGCGCCAGGTGTCCGGACGCCGTGCAGCGAATCTCGTTTTGTTTGGCGGCTCCCCCACTGACCGTCACTAAATAGTGAACCCCCAAATTGGTTCCCCTTTTGTACCAGTCACTGAGCATAAGTGGAAGAGCTTTGCCTTCTCCTTTTCTATGGGAAGGCATCACGTGGCCTCCACCTGAGCCTGTCCAATGTGCAGAAAGAAGCCCAAGGGGGAGGTTAGTTGGCTGGAAATCTTGGCGAGCTTGTTGGGAAATCAAACAGATTTGGAGCCCAGACCTTCCTCAGTCACCCGCGTTGCAGTCTTGAGATCGGACGGTTCAGACCTGCTGGGTTTGTATGCGCACTGGCTACAGCCCTAAGGCCATCCCGTGTGTCGAATTCAAGGCCTTTGATTCATCTTCACGCCCCATGTTGAGTGGGGCCCAAGTTTGGACGCATGAGTTGGGTTGTGCCGCTTGAGACATGGTTCAGTGCCCTAGAAGCTTGCCACTGTGCAAGAGCCCTCCAACAGACCCTGTGAGCATACCCCGGACACCTTTTGAAAGGAATCTTCATGGGAAGCTTGGGGTATGCTTAAAAGGTATGTATGTTGGAGGGGCCACATGTGCCTCGACCCTGGCAAAACCATGCAAGAAATATGGCACCCGTGCGCAGATTCGCATCACCCCCGTTCTCCCCAGGCAGATTCTGAAGGGTTTTTGGTTCTTGGACGCTGAGAACCAACCGGCTTTTCCGCGTTTGGAGCCGATTCGCGAGGTCCTCCAGTCGCTCATGGCCAAGGTGGTGCACAAGGCGCGGCTTCCGAATGCCCGTGGCCCGCGCAGGTGGGTTTCACAGGGGCGACCCCTCAAAATGGTGCCGGGGCTTAGGTGAGAGCTGGCCGAACTCCTGTCACGCCCGCAGAACCAGGGCAACTCCGAAGGGTGGACTCTTTAAGAGGGACCTCAAATGGCCGCCAAGGTAAGGTTGGGTTCTGTTGGCCCATTCATGAGCACCTTCTTTCTTTCTTTCTTTCTTTCTTTCTTTCTTTGGGCCGGACTTTCTCCATGACATTCGCTGATGAAACCACGAACGAGCTCCTTCTCCCAGGACGCTGAGGGGAAGGAGGTGGCCTTCCGAAGGAGGGAAGGCCCGCTCGGGCGCATGTGTGTGTGTGTGTGTGTGTGTGTGTGGGTGGGTGGGTGGGTGGGTGTGGGTGGGTGTGTGGGTGCGCTCGCGTTGCTGCACCGACAAATTGCAACCGAGATCAAACTGCAGGCCAGATGGATAGTTGTCGGAAAAGAGCTCCCGGCCTCCTCGAGTGGGCGCTAAATAGCTCGTCATTGTTTTCCTCTGAAAGGAAACCAACAACGGATTAGTGTTTTGTTGTTCCGCGCCTAGCAAGGCCATGAAAGTCAGTGACCCGCGGACAATTCCTGCATGTTTGACAAGCTGCACTGTTGACAGTCCACGCACGTCTATCACACCTGACAAAAAATCCCAACTTTACAAAAACATGTCAGATTTGGGATCCATTTCAACGCCCAGTCAAGAAAAAGGCTCTTGATTTTGGACGCTCCCACCGCAACCACATTTTGGAATCACAATAGGTGTGGGTAAGAAGCCACTACCCAAAATGGAACCCTGGCAAATGGAAACCAGGATTGAAACCAACTCTGGTAGATCCGAGGTTTGAAACCTTGAAACTCCAAAGTTCCAGAGATTGAAACCCAAGACTCAGGGCTCGGAATTCCACGGTTTGCAGCCTCTGGCTTCTCCGGAGCTCCAGGTTCGGAGCCGATCGCAAGGGTTGAGCCAACACAACAGGATTTGGACCCCCAAAAGGGGGTCGCGCACCAGAATCCAACGCCATTTGGGATTTGGGGGGCATGTGCTCATCCAACATTCATGGCAGGTCCTTTACTGGAGATGCCTGACCTCAGGTTTCGGCCGATCTTTTTTTTTGGGACCCCTTGATGGGGACCGGCTCCGGCAGGCGTCACCTTCGACGAGGAGTGGGGCCAGCTGTCAGAGGCACCCGGTGAGGCCTGGGAAAATCGGCAGCTTTGGTCGGACAGCGGAACACATGGAGCCTTCGAAGCAAGTGACATTGGAACTCATGGAGCTTGAAACAAAAGAAGCGCAACCTGGAACCTTCAAACAGCGAGCAGAGAGAGAGGGAGAGAGAGAGAGAGAGAGAGAGAGAGAGAGAGAGAGAGAGAGAGAGAGAGGGAGAGAGAGAGAGAGAGAGAGCGCGCCTGCAAAAAGAAGAGACAAGTAACATGGAGACCGAGCACCCGTTGATTCCTGGCAGTCCCGTGCTCGAAAGTGCCGGCGGGCGGGCCTGGGAGCACCCGAACGCATTTTCTCCCCCCCTTTCTGCGCTAAATATGGGGTTGAACCAGGGTGAGCAAACAGGCTAGAGTGAATGAGAAAACCCCAAACATGGGCCGAGATCAAAACTGGGGGCTATAGTATATAAAACCACTCCAACCCTTCCCCCCCCCAAAGAAAAGGAAAAAGACAACGGGCAAGGATCAAACAGTTTTTCCTTTTTGGCAAGAACACACCTTTTTGCCCTTGGCCAGGCGCCAGATGCCTGGAAGGCTGGCGTGGCGCAGGCACAGGCGCGGAAAGGGGGCGCACAGGTGTCGCCCTTCAGGTGCGGGTGATGGGTGTGTGGTGCAGGGTGCTTTTTTTTCCCTTTTTTTCCTATTTGTTTAAAGGTAGACTTACACCCAGGCGCTTCCCTTTTTGGGGAAATCAACCAGCCGTGGGTTTAAGTCCACTTTGGGGTTGTCACACAACGAACCACTGGTTTGGCATCGTTTGGGTTTTCCATCAAAAAGGGGGGTTCTTGCCCGACGAGCCAGGGGTGCTTTTTCATGTTGCAGACACGGGTCAGGCGCGAGCTTCAACTAATTAACTCCTGCTGAGATGTGACTGTCTGCGTAGTTGGCCCTAGCTCCACCCCCGACTTGGCATACATGGGCTTCATGGTTCTTGGCAGGTGTTTTGGTGTTTGGTGCTTAAGCTGGGCTGCGCGGCTGGCTGAAGCCGTTTTCGGCGCTCGCCAGGCCAGCCTCATGGAGGAGTTCGGTATTTCAGGAGCGGGCGGGAAAGGTCAGCTTCTTCTCTCAGCAGGGAGGTGGGCCCCCCTTAAACTTGCGAAACCGCAGCCAGCAGATCCTGGACTGATGTCTTGGAGCCGCAATCGCCGTGAGAAACTCGCCGGACAGCTTTGCGATTTGAGCCAGCCGTTCCGAAAAAAGGTCCATCCCGAGACTAGAACATCATTGTCATGTCTCCTTTCGTCCGGGCCCAAATCTCTTTCCCAGAAGGCTGCGGGAGACGGAAGGTCAATAATGGGAGAAGGAGAAACTAATTTCAATCAGTCACGTTCGGCCTCATTTGGGAGAGAGAGGGAGAGAGAGGGAGAGGGAGAGGCACCAAGCCAGACGCCAGGATCGCAGGTGGTAGAGTCGAGCCACCCCTACGAGGCCAAGGCGTGGAAGCCCTTGCCCCCTCAGAAGTGTATTGACCTGCCCGGGTTGCGCTTTCAAGCCCTTCTATTTCACACCGTTTTGGTCGTTTAGACCCACCCCCCAAAAAAACTATATATATATATATAACCCCCCCCCAAAAAAAACAAAACAAAAAAAACGGCCAGACAGGTGTCCTTGTTTTGGGGTTGATTCTCCGCCGGCCGTTGAGGAACCTTGGCCTTTCGGATCGATCCGATCCCAACAAAATCTTCCGCTCAGGGCTTCAGGTGGACCAAGGAGGTGACCATCGAGGGCGCCTCCGCACTGACGGTGCACTTCTACGAGAAGTGCGCCACCTACGAAGCTCGGAGGTCAAATGGGCGAATCGGTTTTGGACGTGGGTGATGGTTCGGTTTTGGGTTGGCTTAAAGGAAAACCCAAAGTGGATGATTTGTTGGAAGCCATTTTTTCAAGTACTTGTTCCTTAGTTACTTGGTTCGGATCGGCGGGGATTTGAACCCCTTTCTCGCAGAAGGGAAATGGTGGGGATGATTCAAAGGAAAACCGAAATGCATTTTGGGTGTCCCAGCTAAGTACTGTATTTATGGCACATCATGTTGTTCTTGGCTTTTATCAATGGTACTCCTGATGCTATGGTCATTGGAGAGGCAAGGGTGTGCACATGTTTCCCTTGAAGGCTAGTCAATAGTACCCGTTTCTAGATTGGTTGAAATGGACACCAAAAGAACCCGAATCATTCTCGTGGTGCCGCTAGTTTGGCACATGCCCACCGATCACCCAATGAAGGTCTAAGCTCGGCTCGTAGGCCGGCTTGACATGACTTGGAGGGCTCTGGGAGCATGTCCTTTGGGCACATTTTGATCGTGCTGACCCCGGGCTGGATCTGGCAGACTGGGGTTGGGTTCCCTTCTAGGGCTTTCTGAATCCTGGCCGGCCACTATTGACTTTGCCCGGCCGCAACCATTTCGTAGAGAGGCCCTGTTCGGTTCCGTGCCATGTTTTTTGGAAAAAACGAAAAAGTTCCCAAAATAAATCCGCACCCATTTTATTTTGTTGGCACTAGGGCGGTCAGTGCTCATCGCATATGGCGGAGCTGCGATTCTTTGGCCTCGAGTCAAAGGCCAAGGTGAGGGACCAGCATGCCCATGGCTCTCTGAAGCTGAAGCGCATGTAGCTGGTGGCTCTCATTTCACTCGGTGAACACTTTATTCCTGGGCCTGTTGGAACAGTTCATGGCCCTGGCTTGAGACATTTTTTTTTTTTTAGGCTCAAGTGTGGGGTTTTGCACGTGTTTTCGGCAACTTCTGGGCATTCCGACCCCCCGCCCAAGCCAAACTGTACTCGGGAAGGGGGGTGGCGTGTAGCTTCGCCTGCCCATTGGAGACATTGTACAAAGTTTCAGGTCAACAAAAGAATCTGAAAGATATGTGGCTGAGTCAGTCGGGCCCGGCCCCTTCTCCCCGAAAGCTACTTTCAGCTGGCACAGGGGCGAGATCCCCGCAACAAGAGATTCCTTTATTTGTGTGTGTGTAAGTTTTCCTTTTTTTTGTGGGTACCCTTTTTGGGTTAGTCTAAACGAAGACCAAAAGCAAAACCCACCGTTTCCGAGGCCACGCCATTTTGACACGAACCCGTTTTTTGTGCGGCCAGCCAGCTCTTGTGTTCCTTTCAAGGGAAACCAGCGCGCCGATTTTTGCTTGGTTCCAGCACCTCATGGCAGCCTGGGCCTCTGGGCTGGGCCAAGGACATGTCCACCCGGCTCTCCGTGTACTCGGGGGGCCTGTGGCGCGATGCGGCCGGGCCAGGCGGACAAGCCAATGCTGGGGGGGCGGGGGGGGGGGGGTTTGGAGGTTGTCGGCTGGATGGCAGCTTTGATGATCGAAAAGAAAAAAATGAACCACCTTGGGACCACCATGGAACCACCATGGACCACCTTGATTTTTCTCCGAATGGGAGTTCCCCATTGGTGGGGGTGATGCTTCAAGGGCTTCGGATCGAGCTCTTCGATCCTTGCCTGGGTGCTCTTTGGCTTGGCCCTTGTGACCTTGGGAAGGCGATTAAAGGCATCGCGCTTTGCCAGGCTGCCAGGCTTCGCCAACCTTTTTGCCCCCTGCGGTTTCCCTTTGAAGCAACGCAAACAACTTCTTACAGGTTTCGTGGCCACGGCCAGGAGGCGAGTTCTTGCGCAAGGCGCAAGAGAACATGACTGGGTAGCGCAACCAGAACCCCCAGTCCCAACTGAGTGAAATCCTGGCTCTCTCCAAGCCACCCCTATGGCAAGTCACAACTGTGGATGCAAGAAACAAGGATTCGTTTTCGTTCTGGTTCAGTCCAACAAATTGGACGCCAACCAACTTTCGAAGCTTTAGAGACGATAAAAACCGCCCCACTGGACGCCGGCCTTAGTTCGCTCACGGCCGAACTCGCCCTTTCAGAGGCGCGCGGGTGGAGCTCCACACGTGCCCGGCGCGCAGAGGGGCGGTTTCATGGAGGGCAAAACGAGGGATCGAGGGATCCGTTTCGCTTGTGGATGGGCCAAAAAGGCATGAGGGCATCTGAATATATCGATTAATCTTTTCGGGAATTTGTGAGCCGCTGAAGGCGGTAGATTGAGCAGCTCCTTAAAAGATACAATTTTGCCCATTTGAAACATGGCTTTTTCCACCAAAATAAACCACCATTTACGAGGCAATGTCCAGGTGTATAATGTAAGGATCCCTGTTGAGAAAAGCAACGTTTGGTTAAATGCTGGGATACACCACCCACTGACTGGCGCAGTTTCCTGGTTGAAGGTTTTCCCACGGCTCCCTGTAAGCTATGAAAAGGGCGGTTGCTAAAACAAACACAACACGATCCACAAGATCCGTATGCCAGGTGGAAGCGGCTTCCATTGTGTTTCACTAGGGGTTGGGGATCAGTCATTAGGATTCATGATCCCCCTCTTTTGAACAACCGCGTAGTTGTTGGTCGAGAATAGTAATGGTTTGGGGGTCAGCTGGCTGTTGGCTGGCTTGGTGAAACAGCGAGGTGCCCTGAACGTTGAGAGTGTAAAAAGCTGACCCAGGCACTGGCAAACATGCGAGATCACCAAAGATCAACAAAGATGGGCTTGGTATCATAGCAGGGAGCATGCTTGCCAGCCGTTCCCTGTTGTTTCAGCAAAGGTCATTTCCAGGGATGGTTGGGAGGTCATTCGATATTCCACGTGGTTCAGCCACCTTGTCTCAGCAAATTTGGCCCCATGCTCTTTGGCGGAGGGGCATCGGAACACCTGAAATGGTTGGGTTCCCCCTAAGGTCCTGGACCCTCAAAAACGGGATGCCCCAAAATGGGCTCTGATGAACTTATCCGGACCTTCTCAAATTGGCTGCTCTTGGTTGTCTCTGCGTTTTATGGAGCAGTACGAACATCATACTCCAGCACCCTCCGGATGAAATCATCCAACAGCACCTTTTTTCCGGATGTGGCTTTTCCATTTGCACCTAAAACGGCTCACACAAAGGCACTGCACGTGCAAAGGGACCACTGGAGGGTGCGCTTCGTCTGAGGCTGCGGCCAGCGGGTTTGGGGCACCGTCCTGGAGCGTTCAGGCGCCAGCTGGAAGGCGGGGCGGCGCTGAGAGTCCTATGCGCGTTGGTTGGGTTTTGCAACTTTCATGGCTTGACTGCTGTTGGGTTGGATCTTTAGACTTTAGCTTTTTGGTTGAAATCAAGGGGTTTTCCACTAAACCCTCCAAAAAGTTAAACTTTTTGCAGGGGGTCAACAGCAAACAAGATGGGGAACCCTTGGTGGCAGTCGTGTCCACCAGCCACTGAGGGGGTTGGAAGGGAGCTGTGGGGCTGTGGAGCTACCAGTCTAAGGACAGGTAGCTAGATGTCACGTTCACTGCGGCATGGTTCATGTCTTTGCCAAGCGTTTGGTCCTGCCCAGGTGGTCAGGGGATACGCTCGCAATCCGGCTTTGGGTCTAGAATTGGCTGAGAGCCCGCTTTTGCTGAGAGGGGCCACTGCAGCTGGTGGAGGGAAGGGAGCCTGTGCGAGCTACTGATGGGAGTTCTGTAAGGACATGGCAGATACTTCTGGGCAATTTCTCGCAAGCTCCGAACGGGGGATTGCACGAGCGAAAACCCATGAAGGTCCCTTAAAGGGGGCCAACTATAGAAAAGTTGCCAGATGTTTTTCCCAAGATGTAAGCCAAAAGGGAGTGACTATACAATTTGTCCAGATTCCCATATTTGACACCCAGCTCCTGTCTATCATCGGGATCCCAGGATCAGCTGATGCCAGGATGCGTGTGTGTTGTATGTGTGTGTGTGTGTGGGTGTGTGGGTGTGGGTGTGCGAGTGCGTGCGCATGTGCGTGCGCATGCGCGTGCGCGTGTGCGTGTGTGCGTGTGTGCGTGTGTTGTGTGTGTTGCGTGTGTTGCGTGTGTTGCGTGTGTTGCGTGTGTTGCGTTGTGTTGTGTTGTGTTGTGTTGTGTTGTGCTGTGTTGTGTTGTGTTGTGGTGTGGTGTGGTGTGGTGTGGTGTGGTGTGGTGTGGTGGGGTGGGGTGTGGTGTGGTGGGGTGGGGTGGGGTGGGGTGTGGTGTGTGTGTGTGTGTGTTGTGTGTTGTGTGTGTGTGTGTGCTGTGTGTGTGTGTTGTGTGTGTGTGTGTGTTGTGTGTGTGTGTGTTGTGTGTTGTGTGTGTGTGGGTTGTGTGATGTTGTGTGTGTGTGTTGTGTGTGTGTGTGTTGTGTGTTGTGTGTGTGTGTGGGTTGTGTGATGTTGTGTGTGTGTGTGTTGTGTGTTGTGTGTGTTGTGTGTGTGGCAGCAAGCCAGATGCGGGGTGCACGCCCGCGTGCAATAAAGAGGGATCCGATTTAGCCCCCCGTTGGCCCTTTTATGATCTTGGCTAGGTGATCCGCAGGTGCATGCCCGAAGCATTCTGTTTGTCAGAAGTGTTTCGACAACCAGGGGGTCGCTTGTGTGACCTGGC